TTTTTTTTCTAAATATAGATACAGAAAAATAATATTTAGAGGGTTGAGATCATATTATAAATCATATTATATCTTAAAAAATCTTATCAGGATACAGTTTCTCCCTATTTCATTAAAAAATGTCTCGAAAACATAGTTTTTAAATGATTGTGTAACATTTCCTTATGCAAATGCCTTATCATTTTTTAAATCATTCCCCGATCATTGGGACATTCAGAGCACTTCCAACTTTTTGTTATTACAAATTCTAGTGCCGTTGCCGTCTTTTTATTTTAATCTTTATTTGCATCTTTGTTCATTTACTTGGATGGAATCCTGGAAGTAGAATTACTGGGTCAGAGGGTATGAACATTTTTAGCTCTCTTGTTACGTATTGCCAAGCTGCTTCCCAGAAAGGTTCCTGCTCCTGCCCTCCTGGGCGCGTAACCATCTTAGGGACATTTTTCAAGCAGGTAACATGCGTTTCAAGCATCAGTCTTCTCGGTACTTTTTCACCCTTCTGCTGCCTCTCTCTTCCTTTGGCACGTGTTCTGTTTCTTAGGGTCATGGTCCCAGGCATCTCTTGCATGTTATGAGCCTGATAAAGATGTCAATTGCCTCAGTTCCTAGGGGACGATTTTATTCTGGGCTTGAATCTCCAGTGATGGAACGTGAGGCACTGACATGGGCAACGGGGGAGATATTTTGGACAGAGACCTCCCCCAGTGCCCCTGATCCCTTTGTAAGGTAGGCAGCTACTGACTCCCTTTTCCTTCATGAGCTTCCTCTGGTCAGCTGGCAGATGTTGGCCAGCAATCTTGGTTTAAGTGACATTTAACTCATTTTCTGCTGTTGCTCAACAGGTCACTTCATGCAAGTTCACTTTTTTTTCCTTCTAAGTTTCATTGTTACTATGAATGAAATATTTAGTATATTTTTATTTGCAGTACATACTTAGGAACTTAGGCACTGAAGAAATCTGGATCATGTAGAACTTTCCTCTTTTCTCTTTTAGTTTTCTTTAACACACACTATTTAGGTATCTGACTTGGGTGAGGCCAGGGTTTGGTTTGGTTTGGTTTGGTTTGGGGCATATGAGTAAGAGCAAGATTGATTGATAATTGATTGTGTGCACACATCATTTCGATCGCATTGCATGAAGTCCAGGAAGGAAGATGAAGCAGGAAATAGGTCTCGAGAATCGTAAAAAATCATAAGCTATGATCTGGTCTTATTATTACTTGGAATTTACATCGTTTCCCTGTAAAAGAAGAAAGCATGAAAATATGAGTTTCAGCATTACTTATAATAGTGAAAAATTAGGTGTAATTTATCTGTCTAATCATGGAGAAATGGTAATTTATAGTAAATACAGTCCAGTAATGTTATGCAACCATTAAAAACAATGATTACAAAGACTATGTAGCAACATGGAACATGTTTATGATATAATTTAAAATTTTAAAAAGGCCGATTATGCAGACAGGGGCATGAGAAAGCATGCAAAAGTGAAAATGGTTGGCTAGAGTGATCTTTTAAAAATGCCAACATTGTTACACTGTGATTTTTACACTACACACGGAGAACACCAGGGAGGTTTGGCCTGCTTTGGAAAGATAGGGAGGGTTGAGTAGGGGGGACCAAGGTCCCTTCCTGCATCAATGCCTGCTCTCTTTGTTTTCCATGTGTTGTGAAGGCTGAGAAGCTTGGCGGTTGCATTGTGCATTGCATTGCGGTGCTAGAGCAGAGGAGAAGAGGCTAGTAGTCTGAGAGGGGGCTGCTTGCTGCTTCACCCCTGGGGACACTTTGCATATTGTCTCAGGAGAGAGTCATTCTCAGAGTGCTGGGCTCAGGACACGCCCGGGGGCAACTCCTGGGTCAAACCACCGGATGTCACCCTCTACTCCATATTTGTATCCTGGGGAATTGAAGTTAAAAGGAAACTTAAGATGACAAGTGATTTTAGAGCGTCAGAAATTAGGCTAAAACTATATAACCGGAGGAAGGTGGTGAGTGTTGGGACATTTCAAAGCCTTGTCCTGCTCTTGGTAGGGGAATTTGGGGGTGATGGTATGTGTATGTGCATCAAGGTGGGTTTCCCCCCCTTCAGTGCAATTGCTAGCACTTCCCTTCCCTTACTGCCGAGTTGTCTGGGCTGAGCCTGGGGTGGCAGAGTCAGTTGTACTGGAGAGCCCCTGTGGGAAAAGGAAGAGGAACCGGCAGAGACTTGGAAGACGAAGGTGACAGGCCTAAGAGGGAGGGAGAGGCGATTTTGGGGGGCTGGGGACAGCAGGCTGTCCATCCCTAGTCTTAGCAGCTGTTGTGACAGGGGCTGCACAGATGGGGTCTCGATGACCTGTCAGAGGACTGGAGCTCAGGGCCTCGGGTTTGCGTTCTGTGCACTGCCTTGAGGCTGCCCCTTCTGCGTGGGGCGGCTGGTTACCACCACGTGTCCCTCATGCCGGTTCTCCTGCAGCTGATCCTTCCCCCACCTCCCACATTCTTGATGAGCTCTGTGACTCAGCGGCTTCTCGGGACATCTGAGCAGCCTCTGGGGGGCTAGAACCGCAGTCGGGAGATGTTGTAACCAGAACTCTTCCTTTTATTATCTTTCCTTCTGGGACATGAAGGTCTTCTCTCTCCCGTAGACGAGTGCAAATAAGAAGCCCCCTCCTCACAAGTGGGCAGTTGGAGGGCTGTGGAAAGAGTGCCTTCTCCAGCTTCTGCCTTGAAAAAAGACGGGCTCTAATTAATCCTGTTGGCTACAGAGGGCACGTTTGAAAGCCGGCCTGAAGCTGGGTGCGGTGCTTACCGACTGGGCCCTGAGACAGGAGGCTCTGTTATCCCGCTGCATTTCCTATGCTTTCTCCTGGAAATGTCCCAGGAGTGGCAGTAGTCCTGAAGCCCCTGGGAGTCCTGTCTCTCTGGCTGCTCCAAGGGGATTTGCTGAGTTTTCTTGGGGAATGGGTGCGTCTCCTCATCCTGACCCACAGCTGTGCACTCTCAGCGGGAGGTTGACCCAGCCTTTCTGCAGGGGACTCCTGGTTCTCCCTGTTCCCAGGGCTCACGCTGCATCCTTTCTCAGAGATACGCTCCACCAGCAACCAACGCCAGGCCTCTCACCTTTCCATCTTTGTTTGACCCAGTGTCTGCAAGAAGACTTCAAGTTCCTCCTGTGGCGTTTGTTCCTAATGCTTGGCTTGTCTCCCTCTCTTTCCCTTCCCTGTACTCACATTTGCTCCGTTGCGGAACTGGAGCTGGGGCGGAAGCTTTCTGTGCTGGGGCAGGCACGAGCAGCAGGGCCTCTGGCTGCAGGTACCCGTGACAGACCTGATGCTCCATTGAGCAGGGCTGTTTCTCCCGCCACCCCGGCCCTGCCGTGGTCCCCCACTTCCGCTACACTTCTTCCTTCTCCACTGCCATCTTTTTTAACCTCCTATTGCCACTTTTTATCTTTTTCTCACCTCCTCTTTTAGTTCTCTTTTTACGTCCTTTGCCCTGTCTCCCTGCCTGCTTTATTTGTCCCCATTGTTACTCAGCGAGCGGTCATGAGACCCCTGACCCCTCTCCCTTCTGATTGAGTTGTCTGTCCCAGTTGGTATTCTGGCCTTGACCTTATCAAGGGATTCACTGTTCACTGGTATCCTTATGTATGTGGGGCATTTTTCTCCTTGGGTCAGCCTTTCAACGCTGCCAGGCCCTTTGTGGGGGTGGGAGAGAACAGACCGCATCGCCAGTTGCCACCCTGAGAATTAGCCTGATGGTGGACCTGCCCCTGTGAGTCTGGAAGACGGCAGGTGTGGTGTCTCAGTAGCTTCCTTGCCGACCAGTGTCGCAGTGCAGGGAGTGGCCTGAGGTTGGCCGTCTCACGACTTTGCTTAGTTGTAGACTGAGAACCACGGTGGGCTTGGGCCTTAGTGGATTTTGCTTGTTGGAGCCCAGCAGGGCCAGGGGTGGGTGGTGTCTGTCCTTGAAAGTCTAAATGGTGTTTTCTAATTCCTGTGGGACTTTGTCCCCCTTCTGTAGTGTGTCGTGCACCAGGTTGGGTGTAACTGCTTGTGGGAAGTTGCTCATATTCCTTTGGGAGGAGAAGAGCGCTCCAGCCCTTCCTTGGGCTCTTCAGAGAGACGGAAGGAAGTCACAAGGATGGGGAGGCTGGCTTGAGGGTGAGGCGTGTCTCCTGACACCGAGATCCTCTTCTGGAGCCAGTGAAAGTGTTCAGGGGTTGGGGTTTTCTTCCGATCCCCCATCCTTTCGATTACAAGGGGCCTCTGGGTAACAGCAAAGTGAAGCAAATGAAGCATGTGGCCCTCCCACAAGGTCCCAGGAGCCCTCGGGGCAATTCTTGGGCACCTCCGTGGATCCGGAGGGGCTGCCATTGATGACTGAATTCCTGGCAAAGTTTTATCTAGGAATTTGAACTGGAGCTTTAATCCTTCCTGAGATAGTTTTTTAATGTATTAAACTAGGTTATGACCTATTTTCTAAGGCTTTTGTGACAAGCAATAATAATGCCTGGTGTTTATGCAGTGCTTAATAAGCCCAAGCACTTCATTTTCATTCACCAAAACCTTATGAGGTGCAGGTACTGTTATTATCCCCATTTTATAGATGCAGAAACTGAGGTGCACAGGATGAAATAGTTTGTGCTCACACAGCGAGTGGCCAGAACTGGAATTGGAACTCTGGCCCTTGACCCAAAGTCGAGGCTTATACCCTCTGTGTGTGCCAGGCTGCCTAATGCTCTGCTCGGCACATAAAAGAGCCTCAGGAAAGTTAGGCGATGCACGTTAATGGACTTTGATGACTGCTTACGGAATGGAATCCACAGAGGTTTCCAGGCTCCGGTTGGGGTGGAACATTTGGTGCCCTGGGGGAGGGAGCTGATGCGAGAGAGCGCCGCCAGCACGGCTTCTGACAGAGGTGAGTCAGGCCAGAGCGAGGTTCCTACAGGTCCGGAGGCAGGGCCCGCTTCACCCTCCCACCCTCCTCACCAGTGCCCCCTCCCTCCCGCCATGCAGGGTGATGCGAGCAGAGCCCAGGAATGCCTTATGTGGATCGGCAGAACCGAATCTGTGGGTTCCTGGACATCGAGGAGAATGAGAACAGTGGCAAGTTTCTGCGGAGGTACTTTATTCTGGACACCCAGGCCAACTACCTTCTCTGGTACATGGACAACCCCCAGGTGAGAGGCTGCCGGGGAGGGCGGCGGGGGGCTGGCTGTCCATCGCTGCCTGGGAGGAATGCACGTGCGATTAGCCTGAAGGGCTTCATCTGTCCCGGGCAGCACCGACCTGCGGGTCAGTAAGGAGGGGCAAGCGCCACCACACACTCAGGCACACCCACAAGCACGCTTGCACGCGTGCACCCTTGTGCACAGGAAATCATCCCAAATTTTAGTTTGAGAAAAAGCTCCTCTCCTGACCCAGAGGATCTGCTGTCTTTTCTCACAGTCCAGGAGAGGCCGGCCGGGCTGGATCCGAGGCATGACTTGCTTCCGCTCACCTCTCTTGTTAGGGCTGTGGCCTTGTGGCCACTCCTGCTCTTCCACTCTGGGGCCCTCCCCAGCAGAGTATGTGACCTGGTTCCCTGAGCTGGACAAACGGTAGACTTCCCTGGTCTCCTGCATTGAGCCAGGAGTCCCAGCACTGGGTTGCAGGTGACCCTGGAAGTCACGTACTTTTGCTTTCTTGCACTATAGATGAAAACAGCTGAGGCTCAGACCTAGGAATCGACAGGGGCCCCCTAAGTTTTATTGCGTTACCTGGGAGTCCCCGGAATCGTCCCTGGTCTGGGAAGGCATTGCTCTGCCCCTGGCGTGGGATCTCCGGTCTTTTTCTGGTGCTGTGAATGCCGTAGGCCCTTTCCTTCCCACCGCCCTAGAGCAGTTTGGTGGAATGAGGCCCCAAAGACTGGCGTGGCCCTCGAATGGCAAGATCATGGGTCGTGGCCACGTTGGGGCGGGGCGGGGTGTGGGCCCGAGATTTGGCTCTGGCTCAGAGACTCTGGAAGAGGACAGTCTGAGTGTCGGGGGATGGGTTTGGGCTTTAAGATGTGAAGCGGAAAAAGAAGCCTGTGAGTCTCTAGGTCATTATCCGGGACTGACCCTCCAGAGACCTCTGGCGTTTGTCATCTGGATTTAATGGCTGAGAGAAAATGCTATAGATACAGAAAACACACCCGCAGATGAGCTGCCGAGAATCGCCGTCTCTGGGAAAGACTCAACCCCAAACAACCGTGCCCCCTGTTTTACCCCACATTCCTGATAAACCCTCTGGTGATTCCTTTTATTGAAAGTGCTGAGCATGCAGAGCAAAGCCTACATACAGACGCTTACATCCTTGGCATAGTCTGGAGCGCTGGCCTCTCCTGCTGTTTGTTTGGGGGTTTGCCTTCGGGCCCTGCTCTATCATTTTCCCCGCGGAGGTGCCCACAGCTGAGTCAGCAGATCTGCAGTGGAAGGAAGTATCATTTTAGGTGCTACTTCCCCACTGTTGGAGGAACTTGAAATCAAGTCCTGCGGCCAGCAGACTTGGCTTCTGGCATGCCAGGGATGAGCCCGGTGACTGATGGTCTGTGAGGCTCATCATTCCTTTTCCCTTTTCCGTCCTTTGTGTACCTCTTCCCACTTACCTGCCATGTTATCCCAGGTAACTCCAATGTATTTTTGTCCTGTTTCAGCTGCTCAGTGCTATGCTTCTCACTAGGCCTGTTCTTAACCCAAAGTCACTTGCTCAGGGAAGCCTGCCTAGCTGCTGCCGGCAACCGCCCCTGAGAGTTGGACCCTCCTTCACACTCGGCCACAGGTTGAGAATCTTGCTGTCAGTGACATGTCACCTGGGACCACCGTGTCACCATGTCCAGTCTCGAATGTTGCCAGTTGTCAGGATTTCTCTTGCTCTTCCCAGCTTTCTGATTTGACTTGGGTTCCAGGACCTGTGCTAACCGTGGATGCCAGGCCTTGGGCTGCCTTCCTGGGGTGTCTGGGTGCAGCCTCTGCAGCGGGTCCCCCCCTGCCCAGGGAAGCCTCCTGTGCGTCCCTGTCCGCTGAGCTCTCTTTGTGCCACAGCCTTCTTTGAGTTTGAGTTACCGAATGAAACGCGTGGCCCCTGCTGCAGATTCTTTACGTTTTCCCTGGAGGCAGAAATTTCAGCTGGCTTGGCACATGCCTAAAAAAGGAGAGTCTGGCTGTGACACAGCAATATTTTACTTCTTTACTTCTAGAAGCAACGTTTTACTTCTTCAGTTGTTGGCTTAGCTCTTTGTTGTACTGAAGGCCAAACCGCCATTCTAGACTTGGGAGTGGGTATTTTTGTTAAGTTGTGAAATAGTGTTAGTGAACATTTATTAGTATGCGCTAGGCACTGTCCTGAAGACTTCCCTGGGTTTTCACTTCATTCTGACAGCAGTCTCACTGGTAGGTGTTAATGCCCTCGTTCTGAAGCCGAGGCGGGTGAGGCAGCGAGGGGCAGGCACTTACCCACCCGTGGTTACATCATAAGAAAGGGGCAGAGCCAGGGTTCTAACCCTGGCAGTCTGAGTCCAGTTTCCCTGCTATTATTGCTGATAATGAGACAGTCATTTTAATGTTGCTGGGGAGGAAGGAACACTTTCAAAGGTAGTTTCTGATTAAGAAATAGAAGCCAGAGGACTCTCAGGGCTGGGAGCTCCCAGGGGGCTCATCTGGGTTAGCTTTTGACCCACAGTGCCCAGCATTTGGTAAACGTGTATTTGTTGAATGAATGAATGAACTAAAGAGGGCCAGGTAGAGAGATGGTCAGAGGGTGGGCTTTAGGAAATGCAGAGCACCTGACCCTGTGCTCCTGGGGTGGGGGCGTGGCCTGAACCAAATGGAAGTTCTGGAGCATGCGCAGCATCAGGAGAAGACGGACTGGAGGTGACCCCAAGAACAGACTAGAGGGTTTTGGTCTGTCCCCGTGAAGGGAGACATTGGGAACTCCATTCAGTCACTGAACCTCTTACTTGTATAAGGAAAAGGAGATGCCTGATGTATAGTATCATGGTTATTTGATAGATATGAATAAGCAGGGGATTTTCTGAACCCAGGTGTCTGATCCCTGTCTGTTTAAGCCACTCAGTGTTTATGGAGCCTGTTTTTACCACCACTGTTGCTGCTGTTATTACTAACTGCAGGTTATACTTACTGAGTCTCACTGAGTGATTTCCCTCTACCAGCCATTGTGCAAAACGCATTACATGTCGCCTCATTAATTCCTCTCAAGAGTCCTGGGGCTCGGGGGCTATGGTCAGTCGCACAGTGTTATTCTGCAGGGTGCAGAGAAGTCCAGTGACTTCGCTCAAGGTTGCACAGGTGGTCAGTGCAGGGCTGGGGCTGGGTCTGGGTCTGTCTGACTCGAGTGTCTGCACTCTTCACCCTTGTCTTCCTTCCTCCTGCTGGTGTTTGCACTCAGCCTTGGGCACGGCCCTGGAGACCCTATGGAAGGTGAGCTCAGGGAGGTCTTTACCACTAGGGAGCATCAGGTTCGGCTGGGGAGATGCAAACAATACACATAAGACTATAGTGCTAAAAATCCGAGTCCATCTTTATAACAAGATAGCGCATCATTAAGTTGAACCGCCAGATGCCAGTATTTTGGTTGGAGGAGAGGGGGCTGCAGGGCCCCCTGCTGCTGCCCGTCTCGGGAAGAGTGGGGCCTGGAGGTGGAGTCTTAGAGGGAGGTTCTCAGGCCGGGGAGACAGAAGACCAAGAATTGGATCCTGGCTCTGCCACTAAGTTGTTTTGTGTGTGAGCAAGCCATGTATCCTCCCCGGGCCAGAGGCATTCCCGGTGATCCCTAACCTGGCTTTCGGCCCTTTATTCCCCGAAAGGCTGAGAGTAGGGTAGGATCCTGGAGCTCAGCAACACTGTAGGACCCAGAGTAGTTGAATATGCCTGTATGCTGGACACCAGTCACATGCTGAGGCTTCAGCAGTGAGCAAGACAAAGCCTTCGTCTTCAAGGAGCTTGCAGGTAGCAGGGGAGGTAGAAGATCAGATAAAAATGTGGCAGGACGAGCTGCAGGGCACCCCTCTGAGGAGGGGGTAGCAATAAACCCAAACCTGGAAGTGAATACTAAAATGATTCACATCTGTAGAGCACTTTGCTGGTTTTGGAGTGTTTTCACTTACAATACCTCATTTGATTGTCATGTGTCCTGGAGGAAGCGGGAGAGGAGGGTGTTTTCAGTGAGGGCAGCAGCAGGCTTTATGGGGCGGGGCAGCACCGAGGGGGAAGGTGAGCTAGTCCGCCCAGAGGGTGTTGACGGTGGGGTTCCCCAGGGGCCCCAAGACAAGGATTTGTGGCAAGTTCTTTATTAAGGAAATGCTCCCCTGAGACTGTCAGGTGTGCTGGGAAGCAGGACAGGCAAGGTGAGGAAGCCGGACCAGGGTGTGAGAAGTCTTCAGAGTGTAGGTAGGCCTTAGCCCGCTGCTGTGGGGTGGAGGGAGGGGACAGTAAGGGAGGCCTAAGAGCTGTCCCCGTGGAACTGGGCTTTTGTGTGCCTCACCGGACAGATGTGGGCCAGACTGCTCCAGCAGCCCGACGGCAACCCTCTGAAGTAGAGCTGCCGGTGCTGGCCATGGTGAGCACAGCAGGACATCGGAGACGGGAGGCCAGTGACAGTGTCCGCTCCCGGGGCAGATCGCAGGTCATGCGAGGGGTCAGCCTACGTGCTGGTGCGTGCCTTGAATACTTGCCAATGTGTAGTTTCCTTGTGGTAGAGTAAGGAGTCAAGGTTTTTCAATGTAGGCCCTGGTGACACCAAACTGATCTAGGGGGAAATCTGTTAGCTAAAAAAGACCCCTATAAATGCAGAGTTTCAATATTATTGATTATGATCACTGACTTGGCTAATGCATTTAAAAACCAATATGCTGACAATGTCAAGCACATAAATAATTCTTGAATAGAAACAAACCTTGGCTGGATTTTCCTTAAAGCTCTTCTGTGATGTGATGGCCCCAGCACTTGTATTTTAATTTAGCATTGGTCCCTATCGTGAGAGAGGGCATGAAGTTCCTTAATAAGGCTTCTCCCTTCTATTACATTGACCTACAGAGTAACTAACCATGTGTTTCAGTTGCACAGCAACGCTTATGTTCCACCTGCCTGGTGCTCGCTTGGCTAAGTAATTGCAAGACTAAATTATATAGCCCTGAATAAAG